GTTAGGGATACAAAGAGAAAAAACAGTCCTTGTTCTCAAGGAGCATTTAACATGCTAATGATGGAGACAATAAATATGGAAGGTTTCAGCTCTATGTCAGATGGAAAAGTACTATGGTTCTTAGGTTGCAGTGACAAAGGACATTGAAATGCCTCTTTTTAAAAGACATGTCCACTGATAAAATCACATCCATCTCTAAGGTTGAACATTCAAAAGTAACTTTGGTGACAAGCATTTTCTTTTTGGGTCTTCAAAAGAAGTGACTGTAACCCCTGCAGGGGCAGTTGCCAGGCTGCAACAGAGGTTTTGTTTTTTTCCCAAGGATAATGTTGGTTGACACTGGAGAGGACACATTGCTATTTTTAGAGGTCTGGGCTCATAGTCCTGTGTTATTTTCATCGGGGTCTGAGGGGAGATGGTAGACAATGTGATAGAGCTGGTTTTATTTGCTTGGCACATACTACTTCCTGTCTCTTTCTCAAGGGGCCTTGCTACTTCAGCTAGGCTGACTTCAGTGCAGTGTGGATGGAAGTTGGTTAGTAGCTGATGGAGATAGCTGGCCTCTTTTCCACAAGAGCTGTCTCCCCAGATGATGGTTGTGAGGGGATAAAGCTGGAAGCTAGGCTAGTGCAGGGGCTGGGGGTGGGGGGAGGAAATGGTGCTACCACTCCTAGAGCTTTTGTTGGCTACAGTTGTTATTGATTGTGATGAGGCCTCTTTACCAGAATGATTTCTTCCCTAGATGGAAGCTGTAGGGGTTAGGCTGGAAGCAAGTCTGGTGATTTGTGATATGATATTCCCAAGGCTCTTGGGCTCAGGGTTCTGTGCTTTCCCCATTAAGATCTGGGTGAAGATGGTGGTCAAGGTAATTGATGATGGTGGTTTGACTTTCCTGACATTTGCTACCACCTGCCTTTCAGGGTGCCCTGATGCTTCATTTAGGCTGCAGCCTGCACAGCAAGCCAAAGGATTTCCTCCACACATAAAGGATGTTTTCCTCTACATTTTTCCACAGGCCCGTGGGAAATCCTTTGGCTTGCAGCAAGCTGCCCGAGGGTGGGAAGCAGCCCTTCAGTCACAAGTTGTGCAGGCCTGAGCTAGGTTGTACCCTATGGATAGCAACTGGTTGGCAGTTGGTGGGCTGGCCCTTTCCCACAGGATGATGGCCTGCCTCCCAGAATGATGGCATTGGAATTCTAAGAGAACCCTTTTATACTCTCTTTCCTCCTTTAGAATGTAAACAGTTCATTCTTATTAAGTTCTTTCTGATTGATTACTCATTTTTACATTTTTATTTTTCTCCACTTTTCTATTAGTATTTAAAATTTCCTTTTCATCTCTGGTGTTTTCATCAGGAACATTTGGAAGGCCTCTATTTCACTGAAGATCCATCTTTTGCCCTTACAAGATGGTACTCAATTTTGTTAAGTAAGTTATTCTAGTTGCAAACCTTTATCTTTTGCATCTTGGGATATCTCATTCCATGTTCTCTGCTCTTTTATGGTAACATCTGCTAAATCTTATGTGATCCTGATTGTGGTTCCCCAGTATTTGAATACTTTGCTTACAGTGTTTTTCTTCTTTTATCTGAAAACTCCTGATTTTGGTAATGACATTCCCAGGAATTTTCATTTTAGGGTTTCTTTCAGGAGGTAAATAGTGGATTTTTTTTCTATTTTTACATTAGCCTTTTTTTAAAAAAAATATGATATCCAGGTTCTGTTTTTAAAATGGACATGGATTATCCAATTATTCTTGTTATCTCACCTGCATCTGTTTTGGGGTCAGGTTATTTTTTATATAACTTACATTTTTCTCCATCATCTGAAGCTTTTGACTTTAATAATTGTTGTTTTTTGGAGTAATAACTTCTATTTAGCCCCTTCAATTTTTAGGAAGTTTGTTAGTGGGCAAGGTTTTATACTACCTATTGATTCTTTTTTTTCCGAGTCTATCCTCTATTACTTATTTTTTGTAGTATCTTTTCTAAACTCTTGAATAATTTCTTAGAAGAATTCCAATTGCTCTTGTGATCAAGCTATTTGTTTTTTTCTTTGAGGTTTTGATTATAGATGTTTTTGAGTTATTCTATTCTGCATTTTTGTCTTGGTCATTCCTGACATCTTAAAAATCCCCTACCCCCATTTTTTGTTTACTTATTTTTATTGCTGAGGCCTCAAGACTTGAGTTTTAGATCTCCTTTACTCTAGGGATCAGATCAAGTTGAGGACCTTTGCTTTACTCTGGGTCTTTCTTTAGACCAGTTATGGCCCTTTCTTACAACCTCAGCCTTCTCCTTCACCACAGACACCAAGGTTTTCTTTTCTTTCTGTGATTGGCCTTAGTTGAAGCCCTTTTCCTTGGGAGGAGAAGGAGAGATGAAGGAGAGGTCTTTTAACTTTTGGTTAAGTTGTAGGTTGCTGCTCCTCTGGTGGTACAAACCTAGCTGAGGCTTATTTCCTTGAGGGAAATAAGTAGGAAAGAGGTCTTTTTCTTCCACAGCTCCTTGCTTACTTCCCTCTCCCCTTAAAAGCAAGGGCTGTCTACTTTTTTCCTTTCTCCTCCCCCCTCCCTTTTGCTGAAGTTTTAATTTTCCTCTCTTAGTTCTGAAGTCTTTCACTTTCACTTTCATCCCTAGGGGATCTGGATTTTTACCTCTTGTCTAATGAGGTGAATTAAATGGTAATTGGGTTCTTACTTAGTGGTGGGGAAAAGCTGAGCTCTGCCTTTTCATTCTACTCCCCCATTTTGAAACAGCAAAATATAGGCCTTTTTGAATATTTCAAAAGGTGATGAGAGAGCCTCCACTTACTATATGGTTGTTGGTTTACCTTATCCTGTAAGAGTGTATATGTTCCACAGTTTCTCTAAGGTACTTCCCTCATACACCAACACAATTGTCACTGGTCATCTTTGAAGGATCTTCCATGTGGAGAGGCTCTACCTGAGCAAATTGATGGGAGTCTGCATATGTGCCAGACCTGCACTACAATGTGAACAAGAATAAAATCAAACAGAACAAAAAGACCTGGGCTGATTATAGCCTTATTGGTTAAGGGAGCACCCATAGAGATAAAATCATAGAACCATCCAAGTATCAAAATTAAGGGTGTTCCTCAAGATTGCATGTATAGTGTCATGGTCAGTTAGTTTCTGACTAAAAAAAGCACTAGACTTCCTGTCCCTCACCTTGGCTATATTCAGGTGTTGCAATACAGAAAGAAAAAAAAAAGACAATTCTGGCTGACATGATTAATATGCCAGAAATACTGCTTATTTGAAAGGCATAGTGTGTCCTTCATTTAGGAGTTTCCATAACTAAAAATTCCCCATAGTAGAATATAAATTCCTTGATATTAGGGAATGTTTCTTTTTTGTCTTTGTACTTCCTTCACCTTGCTCAGTACCCAGCATGTAGCAGGCCCATAAGAAATGCTAAATCAATGAATAAATAACCTAACATAGAACTTAGAATTCTAACACTACCTGAAAACTATGAATCTGAAGACATGAGTTTTACTTCCATTTCTAATCACTACTCATCTGTTGTTTCTCCTTGGGAGAATCATCTTTCTCTGTTTTTCTCCATCAACAAAATGGAAATAAATTATATTTACCACCCATTCAAAGGTGCAGTGATGCTTTACTAAAGCTTTTATTAAAACTTTTTTTTTAAATTAAAGCCCACTGAGATGTGCATATAAAAGAATATTAGAGTAATGTAACAATTTTGGGACACAGGAATCAATTTCCTTATTTGCAAAATGAAGATATTGACCTAGAAAACTTCTAAGGATCCTCCTAATGCTAAAATTCCATGGTTCTTTGATCTTATGTCCTCTTCCTTAGAGGTAGCAGGGGCAATCACTCATTGCTCCACCTCCAACTTATCCTAACTACACATCTAAAGCTCTTTGCCTTCTGTGTCTTTCATTTCCACAAACATGTTATTGTTTAACTACTACATATAATACATTGAACTAAGTAGGCATTTGGGATACAAATATGAAAAGCATCACATGCCCAAGAAGTTTACCATCCAATAAAGAAGATACCCTAGGTAGGCAGATACAAGGTAGAATGTGAAAGGGACAAAAGAGATTAAGACAAATTACTCTAAGAAAATCTGTGGAGGGAAGTGATCATATAACTAGGCAGCATGAGTGAAGGAGGTAATACCTGATCTTGGCCCTATAGGAAAAGAAAAAAAAGAAAATAGGGTGACTCAATAGAAAAACTGTTCGATTTCAAGTCAGAAAAGACCTGGATTTGAAAGGCTGATCTGATATTTATCAAATAATACTTATATAGCAATACACTATTACATTTGATCCTCATAATGATGATCATTAGATTATGTAGAGATTATTATCCCCGCTTTATAGATGAAGAAACTGAGACCCACAGAAGTAAAATTATTTTTTGAAGATCACAAAGGTAGTGACAAAGTTAGGATTTGAAGCTTTATTCTCTTCAGTGCTGTCCTGACTCAGTTGGATTTAAAACCATTTCTCTACTGGTTTCAGTTTAACCTAACTTACTGTCAGATTAAAAAAAAACCTTTATTTTGAACTTAATCATCAACACAAAACACAAAATAATAACACAAAGAATACAAATGATTGTATATGAAGCTGTATTATATGATTGTATATGAGACTCTCAGGCCTACTCCACCATCATATAGATCTAGTTTGCCTCCAAGCTGGCTAGTCTAGTACAAGGTGGATGATTCCACTTTGCCTGGAACTGCCATATGAGAAGGACTAGTTAAGTTGTTCACTTTCCAGGTAAGTGTTGGGATGGATTGAGCGCAATCAATCAATCAATCAATAAACATTTATTAAGTGCCTACTATGTTCCAGGCACTGTGCTAAGTACTAAGGATACAAAAAGAGCCAAAGGACAGTACTTACCCTCAAGGAGCTCACAATCTAATGGGGGATAATCCAATGCTGGGCTTGATTAGGAAGACCTGAGTTCAAATCGAGTCTCAGACATTTATTTACTAGCTGTATGAGGCTAAGCAAGTCACTTAATGTCTGGTAGGCACTTTATAAATGCTTGTTTCCTTCTTGCTCACTCTCCAGTCTGTTCCATCTCCATACTGGCTGCTTTATATTTTCCCATAACAGAATATAAGCTCCTTGAGAGTAAGGACTATCTTGTTTTTGTATTCTGAGAGCTTTACACTTACTAAATGCTCTATCCATGTCTGTAAACTTGTTATAGCTTTTAAAAATGTACATCAAATTTAACAAGATAGTAACAAAATTGACATTTGTATTCTCTCCTGAATTATTTTTCTGTGTATGTATCTCTCTGATTGCTAGTACCTCCTCTGCTCCCAATATTACATTGTATATACTTTGTATTTACTTATGTGTTTTCATATACCCAGCACATAGCACAATGCCTCACTCACAGTAGGTACTCAAATAAGTTTGTTGATTAACTTTTCCCCATATATTTGCACACTAGTTCTTAACAGTTTCTATCAGCCATTGTTGTGGCCGAAGGAGACCATTATGAATCAGATATGCAGGGCAAACAGGATAGAGCTATTACAGAGGCCAAGGAAGAAGGCAGTGTACAGAAGGGAGTATTCAACAATATGGAACGCTGCAGAGAAGTTAAGTTGCATACAGGGAAAATGTTATTCAATTTGCTAACTAGGTTACTGAGTACTTGTGAGACAGCAGTTTAAACTGAGTGGTAGAGATGGAAGCTAGATTGCAGGGATCTAGAAGTTGAACATTGAAAGGGAAGAGAGATACAGGACATAGTTTGAAGGAATAACAGGATCAATGAAAAAAAATTTTTAGAACGGAGACTTACGCATGTTTACAGATAGACTGTAAATAAAGGAAAACAGAAGGTGAGAGACTGATCCATAATGGATCAAGTTCTCAGAGATGGGAGAGATGAAATGAAAAGCTCAAGGGGTTAGACATAGCATGGAGGTGGCTCATCTCATCTTCCAAGATTGGACTCTAAGCTGGAAGTTAAGGGTGGACTTTCCACCCTTACCAATTACCAGTGTTGACTTTGGATAAATCTTTCAATCTTTCAAAACTTCATTGTACTTCTAAATCATAAAATAGTCACCTTAAGCAAGTCACTTTACTCCTAAGCCCTCAAGTTCTTATGTTTAAAATCGTCCCAACTAGATGATGAGCTCTATGAAGCCCTTTTTAATCAAAATTCTATGACCATGTGACTGTACTTTGTTTTTATATCTGTGGCTTAGCAAAATACTTTTCACATAGCAGCCATTCAATAAGTATTGAATTAAATTCTTAATTTTATAAATGGATTATTTCAGCTTTCATCAGCCAAATCCTCAGGTGATGCCTGCAGCTCTTTTTTTAAAAAATTTTCCCCAATGACATGTATAAACAATTTTGTTTTTTAAAATTTTTGAGTTCCAGATTCTCTCCCTCCTGTCCTCATTGGGAATGCAGCAATTTGATATAGGTTATACATTTGTTGCCTGCAGTTCTGTGAAGTTCCCTTACCAAGCTCAGGCATCTTCCTATTTCTATTTTTCCATAGTGATATTACTGTAATGGGGTAATGAGTCCTTGGATCCCTTCTCTCAGTAAGGCCTGAAGGGGGTATTGATTTTTCCAAGTGCATTGCCTTCAGAAACTTTCCATCAGCCTAAGAGTTGGAAAGGACCTCAGAGATAGTATAATCCAACCTACACATGAATAAGAGTTCCTTAGGATCTTACATGCAAAGCTGGAAAGAACCTTAGAAGTCATCTAGCACAAATCTCTATTTTAGAGATGAGGCCCTGAGACTAAACTACTTGCTCCAGGTTACATACATGGTATGTAGCAGATCCAGGATTTAAACCCAGGTCTTATGTTAACCAAATTCTGGGCATTTTCCATACAATACGATTTCTAAAACATCCCTTACAAGTGGTATCTTCTTGAAGACTTCCAATGAGGCAAACTCTTATCTTCTGAGATATCCCATCCACTTCTTAAGCACTCCAAATTCAAAATGTTTCTTCACATTGAAGGGAAATTTGCCTTTCTCAGATGGCTACTGAACTATTATTCCTAGTTGTGCTTTGTGAAACGAAGCAGAATAGTCTAATTTCTACCCAATTTGAAAAACCACTAGGTCTCCCTTGGGTTGCACCCTTTTTCAGGTCAGGCATGGCTCTGGTCCTAGGAGGCTTGAAACCTAAGACAGGCAAAAAGTGCTTCTCTCTGCTCGGCTCCTTCCCAAGTGTGCTCGCTTCTCAAGGTCACATACTTGTAATCAGGGAGATGATCAGTTTCCAGCCAACACTGGAAGGTGAGAATTCCTTTTTACGATTCAAGGCCAAGTAAAAGCATACACTGAGGATATATTTACATGGGCAAAATCATAACTATATACAGTCAGACTTCTTAATAGTGATTCTTGCCTCTCGGTTTATTCTTTTTCTGGCCAAAATAAAAGTGGGGCTTTCGGACTGACGAAAATGGCATTAGCTTTTCTGGCAGGATAGCTGAAACACTTGGTGCTCATGCTTCCTCTGGCATCAACAACTGCGCGCAAAGCCCAGCCGGCAAGTTCTCCAAGAACGCGAGGTCAGGGGTTATTCCACTGCCCAGCATTCCGGTTTCACCTTCCTCCTCTGACCGGGAAATCCCCTCATCCTCCGGATCGGAAGGCATGGTGAGGGGGAAATCTATTTCGGGAATGACGGTGACCAGCACCTCAGATAAAGGAAAACGACCACAACGGAGGCCGAAGGCGCCACAGACAGGAAACGGGGGAAGCGAGAGGCGGCGAAAAGCAGGATCGGAGGAAGTGACGCAAGCGCCCTCTAAGGCAACGCGCGGGTAGCGCGCATGCGCAGCCGAATCGTGCGCCGTGTGGGTTTCATTTCTGGTCGCAGACTTGTAGCTCCGGGGTTGGCTGAGCTTCCGCGGGGATTCCTCTGGGTCCTAAGGGAAGGTAGTGGGAGTCTAGAGCGGAGCTCGGGGTAAGTGTTGGAATGAGAATTCATAGATTCAGGAGCTGCAGACGGTGACTGGGCCTCGTCTCGGACGTCCCGCTCTGTTTGGGCCTGCTCATTATTATTATTATTATTATAATTTTTTACTAATGGCTCGTCACCGTTGCCTTGGGAGCTCAAGCCCGTAACCTCTCCCCTTGTTCCTTTCTCCTCCATTCCTTTTCCCTTCCCTACCTCCGGGGAGGCGAGGCTTGGTTGCCATGGCTACCGCGTAAAGGGGGAGGGAGTACGCGCTGGGGCGGGGGAGGAGGTGGTGGCCTAGGACCCTCGGCTTTGTGACTCTGAGCTGAGGAGGGGGCACTAGTGAGGTCACGGCCATCATCAATTTAGTCTCATCCCAATAACGAAACCTCTCTGTAATTGTGATTTTATGAAAACCTTGCCATACGTTTGTATAGCCCTGCAGTGATGATGATGATGATGATGATGATGATGATGATGATGATGATGATGATGGAGGATATCCACGGGGGGGGGGGTTTATAAAATACCTTTCCCATGACAACCCTCTGAGAGGCTGGTTGTGCAACTTGTCGTTATTTATGTGCCAAGCATTGTGCTAAGTGCAGGGGGATACAAAAAGGGGCAAAAGGCAGTTCCTGCCCCCAAGGAGCTTACAGTCTAATGGAGGAGACAACATACAAACAGATATTTATATACAAAGCAAACTATATACAGGATAAATAGGAAATAATGAGCCTAGAGAAAGCACCGGAATTAAGAGAGGTTGGGGAAGGCTTCCTTCCAGTAGAAGGTGAGATTTTAGTTGCGACTTATAGGAAGCCGGAGAGGATAGTAGTCAGAACTGAGGAGGAAGAGGGGTCCAGGCTTGGAAATCAGCCAGAGAAAATGCCCGGAGCCAAGAGAAGTTGAGGTCCTGAGTGTGTTTATGTACTTTGCTCGAAATTACACAGCTAGCTGGGAAAGTGTCAAGGCAGGGATTTAAAAGGTAGTATTTACAGATCCATTAGGCTTGCAAAAGGCTTTACATAGGCTATCTCATGAAATCCTCCAAACAACCTTGGAAACAGGCGCTGCGGCAGAATTCTAACTCGGGTTTCCGGACTTCCAAATCCAGTGCTCTATCCACTGTATCACTTAACTCCACACAGATGTCCAAGTCCACCACTTGTTCTGTGCTTTTAAAGAGTCAATTATAGTCGTAGTGAGAGCTGCCCTTGGGCCAAGAAGACCTGATTCAAGTCTCTGACTCTTATTGGCGGTGTGACCCTGGTCAAGTCATTTAACCACTTGGTGCTATATACAACTCTGAGTTACAAAAGTGGTGCTGACTTACCTTTGGTAGGGGGAGTTTTCTCATTTAGGAGTTCCCTGTATCAGTGAAGTGACAGGTCCAGTCCCTGTTGCTCTTTGTGCATTATCTCATTTTGACTGACAAAATGACTTACCACATTTAAAAGAAGAAACTGCAGTGCTAGAGATTAAGCCTTTGAAAATGAGGAAGTTGAATTGATTTCTAAAGGTTCATCCAACTCTAATATTCCATGAACGTATGTTATATCCTATTATAGAATACTTTGTGGTGTTCTCAGACTATTGTCTGTTTTGCCTCAACTAAATTGTTTAGAACTGTTCTCCATTAGTTCTGTCATTCCCAATAAATTATAAGCTCCTCTTATATAGCAAAATCTTAAGTAGTTGTGGATTATCTACTGTAGAAGACTCAAGTACTCACCAGCCAGATTAAGATATAATTGGAAAATATTTAGAAAAATAAATAAAAACACGGTAGAACATAGCTAGATAATGTTAATATCTGGTTTCCTGAGTCCAATATGCAGCTTCAGGGATCCTTATTGTTTTAGAGTTTAGTGGCCTCTGTTTCTGTTTGAAACTGATACCATTGTTCTCTATACATCAAACTACTAATTAGAAAATTGTGATTCTTTTTACACTTTCTCTTAACTCTGATCACTTGTTTAAACAGTTCAGGAGAATCAGCAGAGTTTTGTCACAGATTTAACAGTGAAAGGGGTTGAATAGACTGCATGAGAAAACTGAGGCCCAGAGAGCATGTGTCACACAACTGTTTATTAAAGGCACAACTACTAATTAAAGGAAATTTCACTAAGTCTAGTCTTCTGTTAACATCTATTAACTTTAGCAAGACCCTGACTGATTTACATTGTTAGACTTGTAAAACTCGTATTAGATCATAGATTTGGAGCTTGAAGGAACCTTAGAGATCATACTAGCTGAGGCAGACAGGGTTAAGTGACTTGCCCAGGGTCACACAGCTAATAAATGTCTGAGGCCAGATTTGAACTCAGGAAGGGGATACTTCCTGACTCCAGGCCCAGCACTTTATACAGTGTGCTACCTAGGTGCTTGCATACTATACATGCTTAATAAATTTTTAAAAATTGATTTATATGAACGTTACCTTCTGGTTCATTTCCACTACTCCTGACAGCTCAATTTTGTTTTAAACTAGAGGAAATTCCAGGCACGTTGAAGTGCATGCTATATTTATTAGTTTTTTAGAAAATGCTTTTGTTAATATGATATAGAAGAACTATAAATTTATGTGCAGAGTTTGTAAATATTTTTCTTCATTTGGAGTAGCTTTCAGTGATGGATGCTTTCAGTGAGGAATTGATGAGGTCTGTGGAAGAGGATGATCAAGAAAAAGCATCAGTAGGCTGTGGTCCAGAAATACATTTACCTTGGCTCTCACAGCACATCCAGAATACAGGTAAGTGGAGCTGACCTATGGGAATAATATACAGAATATGAAAAACAAATATAGGGATTTAAGCTTCCTGATTGTTTGAATTCTAGATAAATAAGAGTTACCATGTCATGAGGATTTCTTTATAAATCTTATTCTTTCACCTGAAGTGGGCCTAAATATCCTCTTAGGGCTCTTGGGAAGTATGCTTCCCTAGTATAGGGTATGATATATATGCTATATACTATATGCAGTTATCCCACATTGAGAGGTGGGGGGCTACGGGTGCGGCACCCCTGCTATCTGGAAAATCTGCTGGCCTTTGAGTTTCGTCTGTGGCTTCCACAAAACTTCCACAAAATTCCCATTTAATTTCTTATGCTGATCCGTGATATATTGAAACTGCAATGGGGAATGTTGTAAGGTAGAAAGGATAACTGTATAGTATATATTCTTAACTCTGGCTTATATATTCTGGAAAGCAAATTGGATTGGGAGTCAGGCAACACTTAGATTCTAGACCTCACTCTGCCAAATACTGTCAGTGTCTTAGCTTCGTCTATAAAATGAGGGGATTAAATTAAGTGACTTTTTTTGTGGTTGAGTTTTTATTTCATAATCATGAATTTAACTCTGTTGCCTAGCCAGAATTGTGGAAGGAATCCAAAGAGAACTGTAGCAGGTGAGAACACAAGGATTATAGGTTATGAGAGCAGTAGGAGTTTAGGGGGGCTCTTCCCAACTACAGAGGAGTGGTTTGGTGGTTAAGAAAAAAGCAAAAAAACCCAAACAACTTATGAGAGTTGTCCGCAGTCAGCAGTGGTGATCTTCTTGCTGATCTTGCCACCCCAGGAAATGAAGTACTCCATGGCTTCCATGATTTTCGTGTATTCTTTCACTTAGCCAAAGACCACATGCTTACCACCCAGCCAATCAGTCCTAGCAGTACAGATGAAAAACTGGGAGCCATTTGTGTTGGGCCCAGCATTTGCCAGGACAAGATGCCAGGACCAGTGATGAAGTTCTTATCAGAGATGGACTTGCCACCGGTGCCATTATGGCAGGTGAAGTCACCACATTGGCACATGAACCTAGGAGTAATTCTTTGAAAGCAGAACCTCTTATAACCAAATCCCTTCTCTCTGTGCTCAGAGCATGGAAACTTCTACTGTCTTTGGAATCTTGTCTGCATAGAGCTCAAAAGTAATTTGTCCAGGGGCTCATTATCAATGGTGATGTCATAGAACATTATGAGGTTGGGTATGGCCACAGATGGTCTGGGCTAGAGATGACCAGAGAAGCAGAGGTGATGAGCAAATGAAACATACCAAGGACTCCTGATGTCAGCTTCTGCAAAGCAACCAACCAGTGACTTTTCAAGGTCTCTTCCCCTCTAAAATTCTGTGGTTCTTTGGGATCTTCTTAAAAACCAAGACTACCTTTGCCATTAGATTTTATTTATATAACATGCTACATTTTAGTATATAATTTAGTGCTATCCATTTAGAGGTGATTTTTTTTTAAAGGAAATGATGCCTATTAGAGAACAAGGGATGAAAAAAACCCCTTTTTTTTGGATAAATTTTCTTTTTCTTTTTTCTTTTTTTTTGCAAGGCAATCGGGTTTAAGTGACTTGCTCAGGGCCACACAGGTAGTGAATATCATGTGTCTGAGACCAGATTTGAACTCAGGTCCTCCTGACTCCAAGGCTGGAGCTCTGTCCACCTGCACCACCTAGCTGCTCCTAAATTTTCTTATTTATTTAAAACTTAAATACAAAACAAGAAAAGGAAAAAAAAACACTGCCATGTACGCAGCAGAACATAAGAGAGGATTCAATATAAAACAATAATTTTCCATTTCAAGAAAACCTGTACAATAAATATTACACATTGTTTTCAAAGCTGTCCAGCTTTTCTTTGCTTCCTTGTAGGTTTTCTTTTGTTCTCTGCTGTATCCTTTTTACTTTATTTCTCTCCCCACCCCATCCCTACTATAAGGAAGGCTCCAATTAAGTGTGGATAAATATACATGTAGATAGATATCTATAAACATATATGTATGTGTGATATACATTCATACATATATATATATGTAAGACTGCATTATGCTTATTTCCACTTGTCATTTGTTTCTCTGAAGGTGGATAGCATCTTCATAAGTCCACGTTTTTCTATTTTTTTCTAAATCAACCAGCTCATCATTTCCTATGCACAGTAATATTCCAACCCAATCACATCCTATCTGAGAGATTGTCTATGAAAGTTTTTCCCTCAGTTTTCTGCATTCCTTCTATTCTTAACCATGTATGTTTTATTTATACAAGAAAATTTTGATTTAAAATAACTGAAATTATCCATTTTACACTTCAGCAATGCTCTCACCTAATTATATAGTTTAAGTGATACTGCTGAATTTGCTTCCTTCATGTCTTTTTTCCCCTGGTTTCTTTGTAGTTCCTGACCTTTTGTTCTTCCACATGAACTTTGTTACTATTTTTGTCTAACTCAGTAAGATAGATTTTAGTAATTTAATTGAGATGACATTGAATAAGTAGATTAATTAGGTAAGATTGTCTTTTTAAAAATTATATTGGCTTTACCTACCCATGAACAATAAATATTACATCAGTTATTTAGATCTGACTTTATATAAAAACGTGTTTTATGTTTATGTTCACATATAGTTCCTGTGTCTATTTTGGCAGGTATACTCTCAGGTATTTTATACTGTCTAGTTATTTTAAATGGTCTAAAATAATATTAAAAATAACATTTTTGTATAATCCATTCTGTCATTCTAGAGCATGACTATATGTGTTATGTCTTAATTTTGCCTGTAAGCAACACAAACTGGAATTACTGTTCTCAAGATATTTGAAATAGAATTGTTATGTTATATGCTAAATATACCTGTTGAATTATGTATACTCACAGAAGTTCTTGGAAGAAAACTTTTCTAAAAACTTCTATCCTTTGGTTTTTCTTTCTGAAGGCTCTGAAAATTATGCATTCATAATTGCAAATTGAAAATGCTCTTAACTGTGGCTTATAGTCTATTAAAACAGTTGCAGTAGTGCTTTTTCCACAAGGCAGAGTAATAGTCCACAGTAAAAGTTGAATTTGTCACATTTTCATGTATTAATTTCAGAAAGAGTCTTTTGACTGGTATTCAAGTCAATCCACCCAAATACACACAGACTCGCATGACTTCATTTTGTTTATAAATTCAAAGTTCTCTTGAGAAATATTGTCATTTCATCCATTTGGCCAACTCTATTAAGCAAAGGACAAATTATTAAATGTCTAAAGTGCTTATGAGTAACTGCTAAACTTGAAGTTATTCTTTATGTCCTATACATAGTTCTCAGCCTATTGACTGAGTGAAGAGAGTTGTCAACATTTCATGTGAGGCTTTAAAAGCCAAACAAAAGATTTTATATTTTGTATTTTATATGTTATTGTAGAGCAAAGGTATTTAATCTGGGGTCTGTGAATTTAAAAAAAGATATTTTGATAACTATTTCAATATAATTGGTTTCTTTTGTAAATATATGTATTTTGTTTTGTGCATTTAAAAACATTTTGAGAAAGGATTCTTTTTTTCTACAATTTTATTAATTTATTTTGATTTATCAACAATCACTTCCATATGCTTTTGAGTTTAAAATTTTTCTCCCCCTTCGTCCCCACCACCCTCCCCAAGACGGTGCACAATCTGATATAGGCTATACATTTACATTCCTATTAAACATATTTTCACATTAGTGAGGTTGTAAGTAAAAATTAAAACCAATAGGAGGAATCATCAGAAAGAGGAAACAAGGCTCAACAGAAGAGAAAAAAAAATAGCGATTTAACTTTCACAGTTATGATTACTGTGTGTTTTTCTCCATCCTTTTTCCCCGTTTATGCTTTTCTTTCTCCTCTCTCCCTTTCCCCCCTCACTAGTACTTTGCTTTTGACCACTGCCTCCTTCAGTCTCTCCTCCCTTTTATTATCCCCCTCTCCCCCTTCTCCTTTGCCCCTATCGATTCTTCCCTCCTTTCCATCCCCCCTCCCTTTTCTTTCCCCTTTTCTCTCCTACTGCCCATAGGGCAAGTTAGATTTCCATAGCTAACTGGTTGTGTTATTCCCTTCTTGAGCCAAATCTGATGAGAGCAAGGTTCAAACAATGCTCACTCCCCTCCCTTCTTTCCCTCTGCTGTAATAGGATTTTCTGTCTTTTCCTGTAATGTAATTTACCCTTGTCTGCCTCCTCCTGAGAAAGGATTCTTAAATTTCACCAGGTTGCCAGAGGGTTCCAACACACAAAACATAAATAACTCCTATCCTAGAGATTGTAGGGAGCCATTGGAGTTTAGGAGAGAGATCTATGCTTAAGGACAGTCATTTAAGCTGCTATGGGCAGGTGTGATTGGCGAAATATCTACTTGATATGGGAAACCAAGTATAAAGCTCTTGCAGTAGTGCAGGAAAGAGGTGATGAGTACCTGAACCAATGTGGTAGCTATTTGAGTCTGCTGAGAAGGGGTCAGATGTGGTAGGTGTTGTGGATATAAAAACAGTAACTGATTGGCTACATGAGGTGAGAAAGAATGAGAAATAAAGAAATACACTGAGGTTAGATACCCTAAAAGGTATCATTTGTCCAGAGAGCTAACTGGTAGAAGAAACAGTGATATAGCACAAGTGACATCATTATAATGTTACATGTAACCTGACCAAGTGGAGAATATAGATAACATTTTCCTGATATAGATCATGAAAGTTACAAAGAAGAAAGATTTGGTGGTGATGGGAGATTTTGCTTCTCTGAATAGCTACTAGAAAAACCACTAAAAGTGGAAAATCTGTTAAATTTCCTATTCTCTTGCAAAAAGTAGGGGAAACAACAAAGAGAATAGATATTTTGGACCTAATTCTGACCAACCAGGAAGAACAGATTGCAGATGTGGAAGTGACACAGGAAGAAAGTGATGCATCTCAGGGTTTATGATAGATGAGGAAGAGAATACCAAACCTAGTTAGATATGTGCTTTAGACATTAGGGGAGCAGATTTCAAAAATCTAGAGAATAATAGATGTAATCTCATTGTCTGTGATTTTAAAAATAAAAATGGCCTGAGGAAAATGGAAAGCACTGGGAGGCAGATGACTACTTGTCAGGTCTTAGTAGTGTTGTTTTTTGGATTAGAGATTAGAATAGATGAATGTATTGTTACCCCAAAATTAAATTCCGACAATAAAATCTCCAGAATCATCAGAGATACTAATGTGGAAGAAGAAGAGGAAGACACATCTAAAAAGACGGTTAAATGTATAGGATGCTGAGCTCAGAATTTAAAAGGACATCTCTGAAAAATTTAAGGAAGGTGAATAAATGAGTTAAAATACAAGAGGTTGACACAGATTTTTTTTTTAGAATGATGTCAGGAATATCAGAGTTCAGATAAAGCTGATGCTCCCAAAATGTTTTAAGCGCAATAATGACCTTTCAAGGTTATGTGTTGGGCAAGCTGAACAAGGCAGGTATAGGCTTACTTCTTGGAACAGATGGTGTTAATGTTAAAAAATGAGACAGATGGCAGAAAGACTCCACTGTTTTGCTTCTGTCTTTTCCTTCAAGGAGAATGATCTTCAGACTGGAAAGGGTAGGAGAAATGTGATTAAGAGGGAATTGGAGCCAAAGATAGTTGAGGAGATTGTAAGAATGCCTGGCTGCAATAACTGAGCTTGTCACTTGGTCCAGGAAAATAACATTCTGTGGTACTGAAGAAAATGCCAATGAGATCAGCAGTGTGTTATCAGTAATCTTTGTAGATTCATATGGAATGGTGCTAGAAGACTGGAAATCTTCAGTTTTCAACAAGGACAAAAAAATGGATTCTACAAACAGTGGACTGATGGATATATCTGATATGTATCCACCCTGACCCAGAGGCGTTTTAGAAAGGAACCATAAATTTATGATTTGTAAACACTTAGAAAGGAAATAAGTGATCACTATTAGCATATAGCATGAGTTCACTTAGAACAGGTCATGCCAGTTGCAATCTTATTTTCTTGATAGAATTGGTAGGTAATTCTGTAGCATGTCTTAGTAGGTCTTAGTTTCATCAACATTTGATAAAATCTTTCCTGTAGAAATTCAGTAGGTAACGTAGTAAAACAGGGATGAATCTTGTGTTGGTGTATCTCTTGAAAACAGTCTTTGTTTTTAACTAGATACCTCTTGTTTTACATCATGGTCATTTCCTGATACTCGGTCTTTACTTTTGAACCCCACCTTATAACAATGAAAAACAGTTAAACAAAAAAAACCAGCCAAGCAGCATATGCTTCTAAGAACAGGGAAATGTGTTTCATCATCTGTTCTCTGTGGTCAGCATTGGTTATTGCCATTAATCTTAATTCAAACACTTGTTAGTGTTTTTATTTATGTTATTGTCATTGTTTAAATTGTTTTAGTTCTATTTTTAAAAATCTGCATCAATTCATGTAAGTCTTTCTATGTTTCTCTGAATTCCTCACCTTTGTCATTTATATTACATTTATTTATCACAGTTTCTGGGGCAGCTAAGTGGCACAATGGATTGAGCACTGGCCCTGGATTCAGAAGGATCTGAGTTCAAATGTGGCCTCAGGCACATAACGTTTACTAGCTGTATGACCCTGGGCAAGTCACTTAACCCCATTGCCTAGCCCCCCCCAAAAAATTTATCACAGTTTGTTCAGTGATTCCTCCAGTCAGTGGGAACCTATTTTGCTTCTAGTTTTTTGCAATCACAAAAAGCATTGTTTGCAATATATTTGCAAAAATATGTTGGTGTATATTGGACTTTTATTGATATCTCTAACCTCTTTGGGGCATGTGCCTAGTAAAGAATCATAGGGTCAAAGAGTATAAACAATTCAGCTTCAGAATCACAGAATTTTTGAGTTGGAAGGGACCTCGGCATTCATCTAGTTCAACCCATACCTAAAAAGGAGTCTCCAGAGTAGAATGTGGTTGAGAAAGGGATTTCCAGTCTCTGCCCCAACACATCTAATGCGGTGAAAGCCCCTCCCTTCCAAGGCAGCACATTCGGCAATTGGTAGGAAGCTTCTTTTTTTTTTGACTATAACCCTAGACTTGCCTCTTGGCACCCTTTGCCCTTCCTTCTCTTCTCCAGGCTAAACACCCCCCAGTTTCAATTATTTTTTATGGGGTATGGATTCTGTCTACCCTCTGGATGCTCTCCAGCTTGTCAATGTCTTTTTAAAACCATGGTGACCAAAATTAATCATAATGTTCCAGATATCATCTGACCAAGGCATACTGCAGAAGGACAATTAATTTTTCTAATTAAGATTTCTAATTATTTTATTAGTAGTTCTAAAAGTTAAGTCTCTGGCTGCCACATCGTACTGCTAATTCGTTTTGAACTTAGAATCCATTAAAATCCCAGATGTTTTTAGGACAAACTGCTAACCAATTTTACCTTCCCATCCTGTACTTGTGAAATAGATTTTTAGAAACTCAAATGTAAGACACTACTTTTATGCCTCTTCAATTTCATCTTATTAGGTTTAGTCCAATGTGCCCACCATGCCTCAGGATACAGTAGATTGCTTCTCTTTGGAGGGCTTCTGGCAGAAAGCTGGATATCCAGTTGCCGAGAATGTTTTCAGGATTGGGTTTAACTAGATGACCCCTGAGGTTCTTCTCCATTCTGAAATTTTGTGACTGCAAAGCAGGCCTCAGTCACCAGCTTTGACAGGGACTCGAGGTAACTTAGCATTCTGTACGGGCATACCCTTCCTAATGACATTAATTGAAGCAAGTATCTTATTGTCTGCTAAAGCACAAGGCCCTGACTAGGTCCTTGCTGGAAGTCAGGAGAGCTGATTCTAGTCCTGCCCCTGGGATTAACTGTGTGATTTTGTACAAGTCACTTCATTCCTGGGAAGCTTAGTTTCCTCATCTGTGAAATGGGATGGGGGGTAGGACAAAATCATTCCAGGTCTAACTTTCTTTGATTCTGTGGTTGTGTCACAAAACCACAGTGTTATAGATGGGTAACTGGCTGAATTATGTTATACCAGTGTTTCCATACCTGAGAGGGGTGTTCTTTTTTTAAAGTATTAATGATGTTATTATGAAATAATGTTGGTCTAGGCAGCCTTATGCAGGGAATAGCTATACTGGCAAATTTAGTTATTTCTTGTGCTCTGTGGTGACTGTCTGCTTAATTTTATTTTTTACAGTGAGTCATGGCCATAAGGGGATAAATTTTGCTCAGACGACAAGTATTTGTTTAAATTTCATACAAGAAGCCCTGCTGAAGCACCAATGGCAGCAAGCCTCAGAGTTTCTGCAGTGTTATTTCCAGGCCTTGGAGGACTTTAACAGCCAGAAACGGCAGGTGGCCCTGCAGGCAAGTGTGCTAAGGATGGGAATGGGGAAGAGCCTGAGGGGTTCTTCATCCTTGCCTTCATTGAGGAATAATTTTCTCAGGATTCAAGATTTTTAATCAAGATGTCTTTGTTATATTTTAAAGAGTATTTTAAGTAGAAGCAGCTTCAGCTGAAGGTTGTGTGCATGGGTGAGGGGAAGATTTATTTCCCTCCATATTTTCTGTGTTTCTAATGAAGTGGAATTTAAAAAAAGTAATAAAGTGGTTTGAATGCACAATTTTAAAGTTAGCAAATAATCATGATTACTCTTCATTTGATTTTATAGGTTTCTGTTTCCTTTGGCTATCGTTAATAAAATAATCAGTTATTTGTTTACTTGCAAAATGAATCTATGTCACCTTGATCAAATTACTTCACCTCACCAAGCTGCAATTTCTCTCACAAAAGAGTATTTGGACTAGAAAATCTCTAAGGTTTAGTTCTAAAATTCTTTGATTCTGTGCCTTTTTCTAGTGAAATAAACATTAGCATATGAATTATGAAGAATTCACATTTAGATTATGTCAAGTAAAAAGACACATGTGGCAAATGTGGTGGGATGATTCTTGACTCTTTCTTCTACCTCTGCCTTTATTCAGTCAGTTGTCGCATCTTGGGGATTCTACCTCCACAGCATCTCTCAAATCTTTTTCTCCACCCAGGTGGCCCCCACCCTGGTTCAAACCCTCATCTCCTCTTACTTGGCTCATTGCAACAGTCATCTAATTGGCTTTCAACTTCTTTTTCTCCAGTCCATTCTCCACATAACTGCCGAAATTATCTTCCTAAAGTACAAATGTGACTACGTCACTCCCCGTCTCTGGAAACTTAATTGGCTCCCTATTTCATCTAGAACAAAAAACAAAAACTCTTCTGTGTGGCATTTAAAGCCCCTATAATTTGGCTGTAGCTTGCTTTTCTAGGTTTATTATTGCACATTATTGCACTTTATGTTTCATCCAAACCAGTGTCCAGGTGTCCCGTGGGTAAGACATTCCATTTCCTGTTTGTGTGCCAAGCTGTCATCTATGGCTGGGAGGCACCTTCTCCTCACCTCTGCTCCTTAGAATCCTACCTTCCTTTAAGATTCAGCTAATGTGCTATCTCTTCTAGGAAGCCTTTCCTGATCCCAAGGGTTGTTAGTGCTCACTCTTTCCTCATACTATCTATCATGTATACACTTATCCATTTACATGTTGTATCCCTGCGTTAAAATGTAAGCTCTTTGAGGACAGGGATTGTTTGTCATTTTGTCTTTGCATCCCCTCACCAGGATAGTTCCTTGTAGACAATATGTGTTTATAAAATGCTTGTTGGATTGGGTTGGATTGGGTTTTTTGAGAGAGGAAAGAAGAAACATCTATTAAGTGCTTACTATTTTCAGAACACTTTGATAAGTGCTGAGAATACAAACTGGAAATCAGGACAGTCCATGTTCTCATGGAGCTAACATTCTAATGGGGAGAAATAGCACATAAAGGAGGTTTCAGCTGTGAGTTGGATGGAAAAGTCCATGGACCTTAGGGTCCATGATAATGATAATGAATTTAAATTTATAGTAAGATTGATTTTAAATTTAAGCAAATTTTAGCTTAATATAAGAAAAAAATCTTCCTAATTAGGACTCTCAAAAAATAAAATAGTCTGTCATAATGTACTGAGTTCCCAGTGAGCAAATAGAGGTGAGACAACCACTTGTCAGGAATGTTATAGGGAAGGTTCATGCCCTGGGAAGGAGCTCAGAATTGATCTCAAGTCTATGTTATTTCCCAATTGGTGATTTAAATAAAAATTTCAATTAAATCTTCCTTGGAGTGAACATTATATAGTTATATTAAATCAGAGAAAGAAAAGGGAAAAAAAGGAAAAGAAGGGGGCAGCTAGGTGGCACAGTGGATAGAGCACCGGCCCTGAAGTCAGGACGACCTGAGTTCAAATTCGGCCTCAGACCAAACACTTGACACTTACTAGCTGTGTGACCCTGGGCAAGTCGCTTAACCCTAGTTGCCTTAAAAAAAAAAAGGCAAAAGAAGAAAGCCCACCAGAAGGGAGAACTCTTATGCCTAAATGTTGGTGGCAAAGGAATAATATAAAATCAAGTTTAACTAAGTGAAGAGATTTTTTTTTGGTCTTGTGGTACCTTTTGCTGATAACTTTCCAAATTAAAATATAGTTTACTTTTTATTTTCCACATGCCTTATCCACTCTAGATGAAGTTACTAGTTTAGTGCTTTGTCAAGTTTTTATTAAGTAAACAGTGGGGTTTAATAATAGTTTTTTTTTCAGGTAGAAATAAAAACTGGAAGGAATTTAACATTTTGATTCTTATTTTTTTTCTTATTCTTTTAACTTGACAGAATATTTGGAAACTGGGCAGTGCAATTTTATATCATCATCCTAAGAGCAGTGTTGAAACCTTCAGTGCCTTTGCTGACCGGATGAAAAATATTGGTGTCCAAAATTATTTAAAGGTAAGGAAGGGCCTGCTTTGTAGGATCATAGGTTTAGAGTTAGAAGGGAGCTTAGAAGCCATCTAGTATACCCCCTCATTTTACAGATGAGGAAACTGAGGCTCACAGAGCAGAGGTTAAGTCACTTGGCCAAGGTCCCACAGGTAGTAAGTGTGATAAACAGAATTTGAACCCAGGTCTTTCTGACTTTCAAGTGCAGTACTCTACCCCCTGCACCATGCTGATAATTGGGTAGTGGGGAATTGATATCCCAGTGATGATGAAAAATTGATAAGAGGGGATAGGAAAGGACAAAAGTACCCCTAAATGAATAAGGGGGTGTTTCATGAAGATTGGCTACATAGCATCTACCCACCTCATTGTTTCTTTGGTTCTCTACACTGTACTTTCATATTCTCTGGCTTTTTCTAGCCCTTGAGTGTTTTCAAAAGGAAAATACTAAGACTCCTTTGTTTGAATTTCTCCCAGTTTTCCAGAGAACTGTCTCAAAGGGAGTTTGTGAAGCCTGTACCAGCAGAATGCAACCTCTGATAGGGTCTGCCAGGTTAGAAAGCTTCAAGTATGGGCTTAGTAGCTAGCTGTTTGTGTAGCTATGTACCAGCCTAGCTATATTTCTTGACATCAGGGACCCCGTGTCTCAATCTCTTTAATATATTCCTTTAGTTCCTGTGGCTCATTTTGGTCCAGTCTTGTGATTTCTTGATGTAGGGAATTCCCAGGGAAGAGATTCTTGCATGAAAGCAAATTCTGGAATTGAGTGTTACCTCAGAGGAACTGAAAGATTATATGACTTGCTGGGGTCATACAGTCAGTATATGTCAGATGTAGGACTTGTATCCATGTATTCCTGACTCTGAGGCCACTGTTCTTCTCCTGCCTCTCCTATTCGGAATCCCCTGACCCAGGTTGTTTTTATCTGTTGCAGATCTCCCTACAACATGCATTATACCTTCTGCATAAGGGAATGGTTGAGGAGGCTTACAGGAACCTAAACCAGGCAGAGAGCTGGAGATATGGTGAAATGTCTGCTTCCCAAGAAAAATTAATTAAACTTATCCAGGCCTACAGAGGGCTTTTGGACTATTATACGTGGTCTAAAAAGAGGACTGAACTGTCCAAATTTGGTGAGTGAATTTCAGGCTTTACCTTATGATATCTAGGAGTGGAAAGAATGTTATGAGATTATATTGTTCATCTCTAGATTTCATTTGTGTATTGCAGAGAAGGAAAACCTCCAGCAAAGGAAACTTCAGAATTTCCTTTGATACAGTTTTTAGTGTCTCAAAACCCTTCTAGACAGGAAGCTTCATGGGCATCCATAAAATGGTCAGTTATTTTATGGTCATTGCCATTTAAAAAATTCAACTGCCATTAATAGTTGTTTTGTCATTTACTTAGTAGTGACTTGTGGGTGTGGATTGTCCTTTGTGCACGTTTTTATGAAGTCCATTTTACTCATTTTGTAAGACTAATCCATGTAAATAGTACTAGGTAGATTCTCTCAAACCCAACTGATTCTCCTGTGAATCATGTGAATCAATAGCCATGCTATTGAACTAACATTTCCATTTTAATTTTAAGTGTGAATGTACCCATTTTCTACAATTGCTGGCATGTGAAACATATCTCAACTTCCCAACTCCCCTATTACTGACTGTCATGCCCTCAAGCTTCTAGGTTTATATTCTTTGGAATTATTTTGATTTTAGTTTTGAATCCACTGTTGCCTATCAGTCAGTCCTCATGACAATCATTTTCTTCAAAGCCTCCTGCTATTCCTGATCTGCTGATCTTCAGCCCCTGAATAGTTCCCACCATCTGATTTGTCTACTGCCACTAAAGAAAGTCATGAAATCCAGCTGATTTCACTTACTGTAAACTTACAGTGCATAACTGTAGCTGAGTCTTCATTGCTATTTGGAAGTCCTTCCGTTGAATTAATATTGATTCCTTATCTCTTTTTTCCTGGAGTGACTTTTAACATTTTTCTTTTGTCCTCTAACTCCCAAGCATACCTCTTACCGACAGAGCAAATGGCTTAATTTTTTACTGGGCAGATCGTAGCCACCTGACAGGAGCTCCTTCAACTCCTGAGTCAAAATCCCAGAATTTCATAGTTGGAAGGCATCTCAGTGGCCATCTAACACAACCTACACCTGAAAAAGAATCCCCTGTACAGTATACTTGATAAGTAAATATTTATCCTTTGCTTGAAGACCCTCCCCACCAGTGAATGGAGATTTGGTATTTCTTGAGGTGTCCTGTTGCACTTTTAGATAGCTCTTACTTTTAGGAAGTTTTTACTTACATCAAACCTAAATTTGTCTCTTTGCATCTTCTACTCATTTCTCCTAGTTCTGCCCTCTGAGACCAAAGAGATAAATCTGATCTCTTTTCCACATGATAGACCTTCACATACTTGGAAGAGAAGATGCTCCCCCAGCCTCAAACCGTTCCAACTCTTCTTCAGGCTAACTACTCCTCAGTTTTTTCAAGTGATCTTCATTTTGTTTACCCTTGAGATCTTTCACTGTCCTGTTTATCTCCTAGATACTTTCTGGCTTATTAATGTTTTTCCTAAATGATGGCACCTAAACTGAACACAACACTTCACCTGTGGTCCGATGAAAGCATAGTACCTCAGGATTGTCACCTCCCTATTCCTGGAAGCTGTGTCACACTATTAACTCATTAAGCTTATGGTCCATTAAAACCCCCACATCTTTTGAAAATTAAAAGTTTCCCCTCTTCATATCTCCCTCCTTCCTTTCTTAGAGCAGAGACTGTTCCATTTTGTCTTTGTAACCCGGGGGTCTAATACAGTGCTTTGCACATAGTAAGTGCTTGTTAAATCTTTGTGGTTTTAATTTTTTGTCTTAGAGGAGAAAGTCTCTCTCTGCTTCTCACTCAGGCTGTTTATTGTCTCTGCCTGTGCCCCTTGCCTTAGGGTTCTGTCTATTACTAATTTTATCCTCCTTTATGCATCTTCAATCTTACGATCACTGTGAATGCTTCCAGTTTGATTGGGTTTTGTCAGTTCTATAAAAAAAGTTTTCTACCATATCCATCTGTCGTCCCATCTCTTTCCCTCATAGTTAAACTTCTTGAGAAAAGTCATTGATGTAAGAGGCCTCTATTTCCTCACCACTAACTCTGTTCTCCATGCCTTTTAGTCTGCCTTCTGTCCCTACCACACTCTTGAAATTCTGTTTTCAGAGATCCACAGGATGACCTGTTCTAAGTGGCCTTTAGTTTCCCCAAATCTATTTTACCAACCATGTGAGTTTGGAGGAGTCACTTTGCTAATCTTCCGTTAAATCATGTATAAAACAACGATGATATTTTCTCTGTCTACTTCACAGGGTATTAGACAAGTATTTTGTAATTCTTGAAGCACTATGTAAATATGAGTAATTGTTTTCACTGCCCTAATTATTTGCATTTGTGTTGTATCTCCCGAAAAGACTTAGCTCCATAAGGGTAGGGCTTATATCCTTTCTAGATGTTTTATCTCCCTCAGTACTTAGCAGAGTAGTCCCTTAATAAATGTTTGAATTTAGAGGCTTACATTCAGATAACCTTCCCTCATTGATCACATAACCCCTACATTGATTCCCTTATTTCATGTCCTCTACACATGCAGTTAATATGAAGTGAATTAGTTGTTGGGCTGTTGCCTTGTTTTGTTAGGTTGTTGCATATGTGCATATTCAGTTCCCCAGTTAGTCTATATAAATTTTTCAAAAATGGGGACTCTAGTAAAATGTTCTGCCCACAAAGCATTTGAGGCTTAGGAAACACTCAGTGACCTGTAAATGATTAGGCTCAAATTTCAAGTCAGTATTTCCCTTTCTTTTTACCCTTTTCTGTATAAAAGATTAAATAAATATTTGACAGCTGGAGAATTTGGTACTCAATACTAACCCCTTCCCTACCTAGATTCTACTAGCCTTTCTGTGACAGCTGATAGCTCTGTTCTTTAGCAAAGACTAGTCAAAAGTTAGCAAAATGTGTATATAGCTTTTCATATTTTATTTAGCTTCAAATGACTGTCTTAGAAAGGGTGGTCAGAAAGTTTTGTATAATTAGCAAAGAGATAGAACTCTTGGCCATGTCAGTATCATCTGGTAATTGTTCCTGGTTTCTGTGGCCTTGAATCACCCAGATTCTGGGGTATCTGGCTGCATGGAATCCCAGTTACTGCATCATACCACCCATCTTCATGCTGCTCACAAATTAATCTTTCTGCACACCTTTGGTCATGTCACTCATTATAACTTTCCAAGTGTTCCTTATTGCCTGCTAAAATCCAAACTTCTTAGTCCAGCATTTAAAGCCCTTCATTAGAGGATGCCAGCTTGTCTTTGTAGTCGTGGTTCATTGTACTTTCTACAGTACGTTCTGTGCTTCGGCAAAGAAGCACAGGCTACTCACTGTCTGTGGCCCTGCTTGTTCACAGTACCCCCCATGCCTGGAATCTCCACCCTGTCTTCTCCTTTCTCCTGCTTGCCCCTGCTTCCCATATCTGCCTACTGAAATCTTGTTTTTCGAGACCTAGTTCAAGTATCATTTCTTCTCTGAGCCTCTTCTAGTCTTCTGCCTCCTCGACTGAAAATAGTTTTTCCTTCCTCAAACCTGGACTAACCTTTTGTACTTAGTCCCTCACTGTAGTCTGTTTTGTATTTTAATTATATATTTTCATATATTCACTGCTGGATTGCAGACTCCAGTGTCTTACCTCTTTGTCATCCTTTGCTGCTGGCATAGGGATTGACAAATGGTGGTTAAATTAGTTATTCAATTGTTGACTCTATCCTAGTCAGAGGACATGTAGATCATCTTTTGCATTCATGTCACTTATTCTGCTGGATTTTTTTTTACCCCCTTCCATTGGCAAGTCAACAGTAGGCCCTTGTTTCCCTTTTTTTGGTTTATGGGGTGGTGATACGTCTCTGATAGCTCTTGCTTCTGGGTGACTAAATAACTTTGAAAGTTCAATCTTTGGGCAGATATGGACGGTTTTGCTACCAGTGCAGCAACCCAGGATATGCACAGCTATTTCCGACAGGCATCAGTAAATCTTCATGAGATCATTAAAATTCCTGGAGTATGGGACCCTTTTGTAAAGAGTTATGTAGAGGTAAGCAGATTGCTCAGAGTTTTATCTGGTTCTTCCTTTCCTGTTGTAACTATATTCAAAGACTTTTCTTTCCGTGGTCTCTAATAGCCTGGAAAGAAGATTGTTATAGCATTGAGTTCTTGAATCTGTACAATTTGGTTATTTTACTAATGTGCTATGAATATTATGCACCCACTTTCACTATTTGATAACTTATTTATGACTAAGTATTTTGAATGGGTAGGATTCTTTTTTTGTCTTGGTTGTCAAGACTCAAATAATGGTTACATTGTAGATACTGATTCAAAGGAGCTTAGATTTAGAGCTGGAGTGAAATCTAGAAATAATAATAGATTAAACTCCGCATTTTACAGATGAGGAAACTGAGGCCCAGTTAAGTTACTTGCCTATGGTTACATAAATACTAAGTAGCTGAGCTAGGATTTGAAACCCAGGTCCTTTGATTCCAAAGCTAGCATGCTTTCCACTGTACTAGGACACATCCCAATTCTTCATTACAGTTAAGAGAACCTGAAAGAAAGCAGATTTTTAATCCCTTGAAGAGTGTAGCATCAGTAAAAAAAAAATCTGAAAACAGGATCACAGTAGAAGGATGAATTACAGCGCATAAGAGAGTTATTGTGTCAATGCCATGAGGCAGTTGTGGTTAATTTTCAACAGATCGATGCTGACCTTTCACCACTTAGTTGTTGATGAAGGGCTGTGGCACCATGGAGTCTTTCAAGAGCAAGAGGGTTGTATTCTTGAGGTACCTAGAAGCGAAGCCTGCAGGTGGTGATAAACTGGGCAGGTTACTCATTGAATGCCAGACTCAGATGTCACCGATTCTGTTAATAATGGCATTTGTAAAGCCGTGGAGCAGTCACCTACACTGAACATAGTGGACAGTGGGCCAGTAACCTGGGTGGAAAGCTGGGCTCCTGAAAAAGAAGGAAGATTCCTGCAGTTCCCTCTTTTTCATTTTTGAACATGATTGTATTGCTTTGAAGCTCTTTACTCCTTAAGGAAGCTGCTGGCAATGCAGTGTGGGGCTTACAATCAGTTCGTATCCAGCCTCAGGCACTTACTAGTTATGTGACCCTGGGCAGGTCACGTAACCTCTTTTTGCCTCAGTTTTCTCTGCTTCAGATGGGGATGATAATAATAGCTCCTAACCTCCAGGGCTGTTGTGAGGATAAAATGAGATATTTGTAAAAAGTGCTTAGCACAGTACCTAGCACATAGTAGGTGCTATAAAAATATTCTCCCCCGCCCCTTAAGGGTTCCCACTGAAATTTTGGGTGTCTTTGGGAGTAGCTTCATGCTCCAACCTATTGTCAATAGTCCTTCCCACCATAGTCCATGGAATGAATGGAAGTTGTGTGGGTGGTTAAGGCTTTAATGTAGCATTTCTTCTACCACAAAAGAAACTTTTACAGAGTAAAAGTCTATTGAAAGCAAAACTTGCAGCATTTCTCGCTGTCTGTATCATATTCTGTTTCTGTGTGTAACATGCCCAAATGAAACAAATAGTATGTTGTAGTCTTTTACTGAGTCAATAATGAGGTCTTTAGAAATTTAGTTGACTTTACTGTTACAGATATGTCCTTAATGTTTCTGATTTAGTGTGTTGGTGACTTCCATTTCCTTATAGATGCTAGAATTCTATGGAGATCAAGATGGAGCCCGGCAGGTGCTCACTGACTATGCCTATGATAACAACTTTCCATCAAATCCAAATGCTCACGTCTACTTATACAAATTTCTGAAGAAGGAAAAGGCACCAGAAGATAAATTGATTAGTGTGCTTAAGGTATAACATTTTAAAATTTCAGCTAGATCTTGAATATTGATAAAAATTCTTAAGTAGAAATTTTCTTTTCCTTTCGCCAAAAGATATTAATAAAAACTTGTATTCACATTTTATTCAAAATATGACATTCTTAAAGACTTAAAGACTTAAAATACAAATGAAAAATAAATACTTTTTTTCATATCTCCCTCCCAGTAAGCACTTATAACTCTAATTCCTCTGATTGAGAGTAGGAGTCAGAGTATGGGGAGAGAAATCTCTGATGATAGCTGATATGGTAGTCATTACAAGAGGGTCCCTTACTTATATAGGCTCAATCTGTATATGAATGACAACCAAGGAAATTTGTGTGGACAGTGGCTACATTTTCCTTTCTTTCCAGTTTTCTCTGCTTAAAATTTCTCTTTTAATTTCCTTTTGCCTGTATCTCAGTGGACCTTCGCACCAGCCGTGGCCTCCATTTCTTTCCTTTCCCATTCTTGTCCAAGGAACATACGTTGTTGGAAGGATCAAGTAAAACATTGGGGCTCTTATCTGTTGTTTTCTCCTCTGTATCAGAGCTTTAACACAGCTCCAGCAATAGTCTGTAGACAGGAGTCTTAGGTCCTTTCCCATCTCCTCCGTTCCATTTCCAAGACCTCCCTCACAAAGGTCCTGTGCTTGCTCTTATGATAAAATGTTTAAGGAACTTATTGAATCTTTGTCTATACCCAAGGACCCACCATTGTCAGTTATAGACACCTTTGTCTTCCCCATAGGGCTGGGTTTATCCCAGAGTCCATGAGCTTGTTTTTTAAAAAAAGATTTTGATAATTGTATTTCAATGTAATTGGTTTCCTTTGTAATGCTATATATTTTACACATTTAAAAATGTTATTCTGAGATGGGGTCCCAAAGTCTTCATCCAACTCCCATGTCATAGGGTCTAATAAATAAAAACAGACGATTGTAGGGACAACAGTCCTTTGCTGTTTTAGAAAACCTCTGTAGAAATAGGGACTTTGCTTTCAGGGACAGGAGGTTAGAGGAAAAACTAAGACTATATTCTGTTCTGTCGTTGGCCGGGGAGGAGAGAAATTGTATTTGAAACCAACAGGGAATGACTGTGGAAAGCCTATCTCTGGTGCTCTCAAAAAATAAGAAATAATGTCGTGGAGTCTAGATTGAGAAGGGGTCCCAGAGATTTCTAGTAACTGAAAGACCTGTTTCTTTTTTTTTTTCTAGCAGAATTTTTAGTTCGGTTTTATTTAATTGATGTCTTCATATTCATTCCCCTTTTTTAGTCTCCCTTTATTGCCATGCCTAGTACTTAGTTACTTTCTGTTCTTGTTCTGCCACCTGGTGGCACCAGAAATCAACTTTTTATAGGATACGAATGATCTCTTAGCAAATTACATTTTTTAAAGAATTAGAATCTCAGTTTATTTCTATATTATTTATTTATTTTATTTATTTTTTAATTATTATTTAGTTTATTATTATCATCCCAAATCCATGAAACTAATGTGACTGACTTCCTTAGCAACTGCTCAAATTGTGATGTGGTTCTTAAAAAAAAAAATTCCCTTTATGATATCTGGCGTGCTTCCTTTAACAGATTTTTCAAAAGGCTAACACAAAATTGACTTGTGTTGTGATCTGCAAAGTTCCTTGAAAATGTGGGACTAAGACAACTTAGTAAGGAAAAAACTTAAATGAACATTTCTTGTATTAAGTATGTTGAAATGAGAAAAATGGTATTTTCACTTGTAATTCTAATTTTTTCATATGTAGTGTATACTATTGCTGTGTGGTTTAGATACATTTGAATATTACCTATATTGACATGGTGGTTTACAGTTTTCAAAGTACTTTTATGTACATTATTTAATTCTCATGACAGTCTTGTGAAGTAAATATGCAGAAATTTTTATCTCCATTTAAAAAAATGAACTTAATGAGATTCAGTTTCTCTAAGTGATTTGCCAAAGGGCTAGTAAAGACGTGGATCTGTGTCTGAATGAATGAATGAACAAATGAATGAGCATTTATTAATAATATAATAATAGCATTTATATAGTGATTTAAGTTTTTCAAAGTGCTTTACAAATATTACTTCATTCTATTATCACAACAACCCTGGGAAATAAGTGCTATTATTATCCCTATTTTACAGATGAGAAAAGTGAGCCACGCAGAATTCAGGCCTTTCTGACTCCAGGTGTAGCCTCTACCTGTAGCACCACCCAGTTGTCTCTTTACTTTGTGCTAGGCACTGTGCCCTTGACCTCCTGTTTGTGTTTGGGATTTTTCCCCACCAAATCAGGCTGCTTATGTTAAAGGCTTTGCTCATTCTTTCACAATACCTTGTATTTCTCAGCAAATTGTTTATTAAATGCTTAAGGGACCAAGTGACCTGGCAGGACCCTTTGTGCCTGCGCAAAAACTTCCGCCAAAAGCAAGCCCTTACCCTCTCTTTTCTGGGAACTTTCATTCTAAGTGAACGTTGCATAACTTCTTATAATCAATAACTGTTACAAATTAACCTGATTCAATTTTGTGCCTTGAAAAATCCTGTCAATTGTTTTTGTTAGTATTGATTAAAAAAAAGAAATGAGAAAATATCAATCTAATTTTGGATGCCAACTGGACCAGTTAAACCAGTCAATCTAAATCTAGTTTATTATCTGCAGTATTATCTGCAGAGTTTTGCAATATTGTAAAGGACACATTTTGTAGCAGCCAAAATAGGATGGAAGTAAAAAACTTTAAATTGTTTATTTTTCAGAGAAAAAGTGTTTTTTGAAGAAGAGGGGGGAAATTCTTCTTTGAAATGAGATAAAATCTTAGAAATAACCTGCTAATATGGTAGTAACAATAAGCACCATTCTATTTTTCAGATTTTGCACCAGATTGTGCCTTCTCATAAGATTATGCTAGAATTTCACATGTTACTTAGGAAGTCAAGTAAGTCAAAATTTCAGTGAACAGAACCTCTTCTTTCTTTTGTGTAAACAAACTGCAGGCTAGCCAAGTTTTTGCCAGGGTCAGAAAAGGCTAGTGAAGGAAATGGCTGCATAGCTATTTTTCAGTTTATATAACCTATCCATTATAATCACTGCTAGGCTCCATTTTGGTGATTAAAAAGATGCACTTAATGAAAGGAGATAAATTAATTAAGTCATTTCCAAGCACAACTGTTTCCAGGGCCTCTACAAACCTCAAGACATCAATTGAGTAGGAAGAAAGCCCATCATCTGTTATCTGTATTGCATTATTGAAGAGCTTTGTCCCCTCTTCTGTTGTACTTGCCTCTTGACCATTTCAGAATGAATAGAGAAAGGAAATGAAATTCTGGGCAACTCAGGAAAAAAGGTTTAGAGAGGAGGAGGTCGGAACACTTGACTTAGGCTGAGAATTCCGCACTGCCCATATGTAATTATCCGTATTTTCTTTTATCCTGGCAGTATTATGCTCTCCTTTCAGTATTACCATTAGTAGAAATTTTGCTTTGAGTTGTTTTTCAGTAATGAGAATTTATAGGTATCAAACTCACAGCACTATTAGAAGCAAACTAACCAGTTCAGTTAACCACACGCACACACATGACAGGCTGTGCTTAGTACAATGCATTATTCTAACCTGTGAATCAGACGGGAATATTTAGTAGCCAGCAGTAACCTAATGACTATAATTTTTGAGCCTCTTTCAGTTCAATGCTGTACATTAACTTGATCTTGTATGGCCATTGCAGAGAAAGAAGAACACCATAAACTGGGGCTAGAAGTTCTATTTGCAGTCCTAGATTTTTCTGGTTGCATTGAAAACATAACTGCTTGGAGGTACTTCGCAAAGTACCTGAAACAAATAATGATGGAGTAAGTATGAAGCATCTTACATAGCTGAGACAGCAGAAACAAAATGGCCCAGTGATGCAGAAAGAGTAAGAGGATCTGTATTTTGTCAATTTTAACAGGTTCTCATTTCTTTTTTATTTTTTTAGTATTTTGTTTTTTCCCTAATTACATGTCAAAACAATTTTTAGCATTCATTTTTACAAGATTTTGAGTCCAATTTTTTCTCTCTCCTTCCCTCCCTTCCCTCCTTTTTTTCTGAAATGGTAGGCATTTTGATATAGGTTATACATGTGCTATCATGTAAAAACATATTTCCGTATTAGTTACAGTTGTGGAAGAAGAAACAGATCAAAAGGGAAAAAAAATGAAAAAGAATAAAGTCAGTGAAAAAAGTATGCTTCAGTCTTCATTCATAGTCCATCAGTTCTTTATCTGTATGTGTACAGCATTTTCGTTCATGAGTCCTTTGTACTTGTCTTGGATCACTGTGTTGCTGAGAAGAGCTGAGTCATTCAGAGTTGATCATCACACAATGTTGTTGATACTGTGTACAATGTTTTCCTGGTTCTGCTCATTTCATTTTGCATCAGTTCATGTCAGTCTTTCCAGGTTTTTCTGAAGTCTGCCTGTTCATCACTTCTTATTGCACAATAGTATTCCATTACATTCATTTACCACAGCTTGTTCAGCCATTCCCCAGTTGATGGGCATCCCCTCAATCTCCAAAATTTTGCCACCACAAATAAGACTGCTATAAATATTTTTGCACATGTAGGTCCTTTTCCCTCTTTTATGATCTCTTTGGGCTAGTAGTGGTATTGCACAGTTTGGTTGCCCTTTGAGCATAGTTCCAAATTGCTCTCCAGAATGGTTAGATCAGTTCACAACTTGACCAACAGTGCATTTAGTGTCCCAATTTTCCCACACCCTCTCCGACATAATTTTCCTTTTTTGTCAAAAGCCAATCTAATAGGTGTGAGGTGGTACCTCACACTTATTTTAATTTGCATTTCTCTAATCAAAAGTGATTTAGAAGACTTCTTCATGCCTGTAGATAGCTTTGATTTCATCTGAAAACTGCCTTATCATATCGTTTGACCATTTATCAATTGGGAAATGGCTTGTATTCTTATGAATTTGACTCAATTCTCTATAAAGTTAAGAAATAAGGCCTTTATCAGAGATACTTGCTATAAAGGTTGTTTCCCAGCTTTCTGCTTTCCCTCTAATCCTGGTTGCACTGGCTTTGTTTGTGCAAAAGCCTTTTAATTTAGTATAATCAAAATTATCTCTTTTGTATTTTGTAATGCTCACTATCTCTTGTTTGGTCATGGTCTATAGTACCTTTTAGCAAGATGTAGTTTCCTTCCTTATTTCTTTTTAATTAAGTCTATTTTTGCTTTTGCTTTGTCTGAGATCAGGATTGCTACCCCTGCTTTTTTTTTTTCTTACTTTAGCTGAAGCATAATAGACTCTGCTCCAGCCCTTACCTTTCCTCTGTGTGTGTCTCTCTGCTTCAAGTATATTTCTTATAAAGAACGTATTGTAGGATTCTGGCTTTTGATCTACTCTGCTATCCTACTTCTGTTTTATGGGAGAGTTCATCCCATTTACATTCACAGTTATGATTACTAACTGTGTATTTCCCTCCATCCTATTTTTCCTCCAGTTTGTCCTCTCTCTCCTTTCATCCTTTCCTTTGTCGACAGTGTTTTTCTTCTGTCTACTGTTCGCCTGTTCCCATCTGCCTTCTGTTCTGTCAGTCCCCACCCCCTCCCCCCTTTTCTTAACCTTCTCCCCTCCTACTTTCCTGTTGGGTAAGATAGATTTCTATATTCAACTGATTGTGTATATTATTCCCTGTTTGAGCCAATACTGCTGAGAGTAAGGTTCAAGTGATGCCTATCGCCCACCCTCCCATCTTTCCCTTCACTTTAATAGGTTTCTCATGCCTCTTCACGTGAAATGATTTATCCCATTCTACCTTTCCCTTTCTTCTGCACCCAGTGTACTCCTTTTTCTCATCCCTTAATTATTTTTTTCTGTCATTCCCTCTAATTCACCTTATACCCATACCCTCTGTCTATGTATGTTCCTTCTAGCTGTACTATTAGGAGCACAGTTTTTAAGAATTACGAGTATCATCTTCCCATATAGGGATTTAAACAGTTCAGCTTCATTGAATCCTTTATGTTGTCCTTTCCCTTTTTTACCTTTTTAGGCTCTCTTGGTCTTGATATTAGAGCTCAGTTTTTGTTTAATTCTGGTCTCCTTATGAAAGCTTGAAATCCTTCTATTTCATTGAATGACCATTTTGTCCCTTAAAGTATTATGCTTAGTTTCACTGGGTAGGTGATTCTTGGTTGTAGTATTAGCTCCTTTGCCTTCCGGAATATCATGTTCCATGACCTCTGATACTTTAATATTGCAGCTGCTGAGTCATGTATAATCCTAATTGTGGCTCCCTGATATTTGGATTGTTTCTTTCTGGCCGCTTTCAGTACTTTTTCCTTGACCTGATCGTTCTATAATTTGGCTATAACAGGGATGAGGACCTGCAGCCTCAAGGCCACATATGGCCCTTAAGGTCTTCAAGTGCAGCCCTTTGGCTGAATCCAAACTTCACAGAACAGATCTCCTTAATAAAAGTATTTGTTTTGTAAGACTTGGACTCAGTAAAAAGGCCTCACCCAAGGACCTAGAAGGCTACATGTGGCCTCGAGGATGCAGGTTCCCCACCCCTGGACTATAATGTTCCTTGGAATTTTTATTTTGGGTCCCCTTTCCTGAAGTGATCAGTGTATTCTTTTGATGCCTCTTTTTGCCTCTGGTTCCAGGGTATCAGGGCACTTTTCCTTGATACTTTCTTGCAAGATTCTGTCTAGGTCCCCCTTTCAATTATGGCTTTCAAGTTGTCCAATGATTCTCACATTGTCTTTTGTTTTTCCAAGTGTCCAATGTCCATTGTCAATTGTTTTTCCAGTGAAGTATTTTACATTTTCTTCTATTTTTTTTATTCTTTTCAATTTGTTTTGATTGATTCTTGTTGTCTCATAGAGCCGTCAGCTTCTTGCTAACCTGCCCAGTTCTAACTTTTAAGGAGTTGTTTGCCTCATTTAGCTTTTGTACTTCCTTTTCCATTTGGCCAACTATACTTTTTAAAGAGTTGTTTTCTTCAGTGGATTTTTGTATCTCCTTTTCCATTTGGCCAGTTCTACTTTTTAAGCAATTGTTTTCTTTTTCCAAGCTGTTGACTCTTTTTTCATAATTCTCTTACATCATTCTCATTCATTTTCCCATTTTTTCTTCTGCCTCTCTTATATGATTTTTAAGCTCCTTTTTGAGCTCTTCCATGAGTTCTTTCTGGGTTTGAGACCACTTCTCCTTTATTTTTGGGTCTTTGCCCATAGGAGTTTTGACATTCTTGTCCTCTTCTGAGTTTGTGTCTTGGTCTTCCCTGTCACCATAATAACTTTTTATGGTCAGATTTTTTTGTTGGTTTTTTTTTCCTCATCTTTTTTGGCCTTTTACCTTTCTTTTAAATTTGAGCTTTCCTCCTAGGGTGGAAGGGGTACTGTCTTAGGCTTCTTGTGCCAATGACTATAGGCCCTGGCTGTTTACTTGGTGCTGTACTGATGTTGCCCTGAGGCCCGTGGGGGCCCCTTCTGTGTGGTGCTACACTGAAGAGGTGGGGGAGGGAATGGCTGGTGCTGCTGGAAGCTGTAGGGGTCTGGCAGCTTATCTGGTGCTGAGCTGGGGTCCTAGTGTTGGTATCTGGTGTGTGCTGAGGCTGGGCCAGTGAGGTATTTCTGGGTTTCCCCAGGTTACCCTGAAACACATGGTAGTTTGGCCACTAGAGGCTGCCTGTTTGCCAGAGACTATCCTGAAGCACATGGCTGGCTGCCTGTTTGCCCAGGGCTGTGCTGAAGCTCATGGTGGTTCTTGGGCCTGGATTCTGTCCATTCCCCTGGCTATGCTGAGGCATATGGGGGTCCTGGTATTGGTGTTTGACTGCTCCACCACACTGGGGCTTAGGATCTCCTGCTGGTTTGCTAAGGTGGGGCTTTCTGCTGGCTTGCTGTCCCGGACTTTGCTCCCCTTTTACCCAAGTGAGACAGATCTTTCCTGCCAACCTTCTAAGTTTCTTGGGCTAAAAGATTGCTTCACCCCATATTTTTGCTGGTTCTGATGTTCCAGGATTTGTTTTGGGGTGCTATTTTATGGTTGTTTGGAGGTGAATATGAGAGAGTTACAGCGAGTTACTGCTTACTTCGGTAAACATTTCCTAAGTGCCTGCTATGTCAGGTTTTCATTTCTTATACTTTAGCTTTCTCTACCAGTGCTTTAACATCTCTTCAGGGCTTTTCAGCTTCATGAAGTGCAAAGCCTGAAGCTAAAAGGCCTATTGTTTATTCTTGTGGGGTGAATAGAGATTGCTATGCTATCCAACTGAGTGTGTTATCCTAGCAATACACTGCCTTGGGCATTTAAATGTCTAGTTTGAGTTGAGTGAATAAGGACTCCTAAGTGAGCACACTGTGCCCGTGTGCTGTAAGAAAATGACTTGTTATGTGAATGGTAATATCTTTCCAAAACTTTTAAAATCCTGCAGAAGAATTCTTCCATGGCATAGGTTTGAAAGAGAGAAAAGCTCATGTAAATAGTGTAATAATAGTATACTTTTTTTTAATCTTCCTGCATGACTCTTATCTCACTAGAGGGTGGCTTCAATCCTGATACCTCTGGCCATGTTATATTTGGTGGCATATTCAGAAAAATGGGCTTCTTCTTGTTAGCCTTTTTTCTTTTTCTTTTTTTCACTTTCATTACATGCCAGTATATGAAGAAGGAAAACATCTGAATTTTTTTCTGTACCTATTACATTTTTGTGAGAAGGTTAATTTTTTTCTAGAATTGATCTTTAATGATCAGATAATTACCTGGTTTGGTACATTTAGCCAAATCTCTAAATGTTGATTCTTTGGTGGAGTATGGTGTGCAGAGGCAGTATATAAAACTAAGATGTTATAAACCCTAGGTGTGTTAGATGCTTACCTTCAAAAGTCAAACCATTTGTCTTGTGTTTTTTGTAAAATGGGATTACTGAGCTCTTTTTGTGGTGGTAAAGAATTGGAAGTTAGGGGAATGCGCATCAATTGCGGAATGGCTGAACAAGTTGTGATATATGAATGTAATGGAATACTGTTGTGCTATAAGAAATGATGAGCAGGTGGATTTCAGAAAAACCTGGAAAGATTTACGTGAATTGTTGCTGAGTGAAGTGAGCAGAATCAGGAGAACATTGTACATAGTAACAGTAACACTGTGCAATAATCAACTATGATTGATTTAGTTCTTCTCAGCAATACAGTGATCCAAGACAATTCCAAAAGACTCATGATGGAAAATGCTGTCTACATCCTGGGATCTGAATGCAGATCAAAGCATATTATCTTCGCTTTTTCTGGTGGTTTTTCCCTTTTGTTCTGTTTCTTTTTTTATAACATGACTCATATGGAATTATGTTTCCATGATTGCAGTTGTATGACCTATATCAGATTGCTTGTCATCTTGGGGAAGGAGGAGGGAAGAAAGGGAGGGAGAAAAATTTGCAACTCAAAATCTTATAAAAACGAATGTTGAAAACTATCTTTACATGTAATTGGAAAAAAATGCTATTTACAAAAAGGAGAATAAAATAAAATAATAAAAATTAGATTGCTGATTAAGATGGTAGATCTTGCTAGCATATATACTCATGACATGAGGTTGCTGAGTAAAATTTTTCCTGAGTGGATGAATGAAAAATAAGGAAGTTAGATGGAGAGTTAATAAAATGATTTATTTCCATAATGTTCTCCCTCATATATGGTGCTAATTTAAAAATGTTTTCCTTTCTGTTTTTCAAATGCTTTACTAAAGTTAGTCTGTTTTCTGGCCCTACACTCTCTCTCCCAATTTTTCTCCTTTAGAAAGCACCTAGACTGGGTTCAGGAGGGGTGGAGTTCTAGAAAGGACTGGTGGCCAACATTTCACTTCAGCTACTATCTAGCAAAAAAGAATTGGAAGGAAAATAAGATCCTGGCACTGGAAAAAGCTTTCACATCTGGAATACTGTTGGGAAAAGGTATGTGCCTTTTATTCCTCTGTCCCATGTCAAGTGTATCACTGTGAGAGTATGAGGGGTTACTGTTGACTTCAAGTGCCAAGAATATTTATCTGTATAGCCGCTTTAATTGAAATTAGTCAGTGGGCAGAGACATACAAATTTGAATCAAATAGTTATATAATACTCTAGAGACCCTCAGGCTTGGTGGTGTTGGGTACAGTGTGTTGCAAATGGATAGTCTTTTGCCCTCAGCAAAGCAGGATGGGGAGGTGATTAGAGATTCAGATACTATGCTTAGCAAGAATCCCTGGGGATCAGGTCTCCCTGTTAGGGGAGTGCCTTGTGCATTTTTATGTGGATGATCATGTTTGACTAGTATTGTTATCTGTTGGTTAAGCGTTATTTCTATGGGACTTTGAGGTGCAGGATGAAGTTGGAAACAGCTGCTGTCTTAAATGATCTGTCTGTTGCTACCTTGGAGGTTTTTTGGGGTTCTCAGCTTTTTCCAGTCAGGAAATCAAAGTTATAATTTATTAGCCATGTTGCAGTAAGGGATTCATTTTTTCTTCCAGTGTAGAAAAGACAGCATCTCTCCTGTAAAGAAAAGAAATGTGTCTGTTAGCCCAGCAAACAAGCCCTCCTAAGAGAAAAGAGGAGACAGTCTTTACTTTGTGAGTTATGCTGGCTGCTTGACAAAACTCTCATTCTCTTGATACCACTTCAGCGTGGAGAGGCAGAGAGCAATGGAATAAGTGCTGTGCAGTGACTGTTCACATCAGTTTCCAGCAAAGCATGTTTAGTGAGGCTGCTCAAAGTAGACTACACAAGGGTCTCACAGTGATGTTTGCTAAAATATCTGTCTTCCTGGAGTATGAAAGTATCCTGGAAAGGTCCTGCCCTTGCTTGGATTCCGTAGTTCAACTTATGAGAGATTTATTTTGATTAATTATGGTAGCTAGCATTGATAAGCCTTTAAGGCTTATAAAACATTTCTCATTTTATTTTTACAACAGACCTGAGGGATAGATACTACAGGTTCTACCTGCTAATACTATAGGTATTAACACTACAGGGCAACTAGATGGGATACTGGATAGTCTGCCGTACCAGGAGTCAGGAAGACTCATCTTCCTGAGTTCAAATCTCACACACTTTCTAGCTGTGTGACCCTGGGCAAGTTACTTAACCCTTTTTGCCTCAGTTTCTTCATCTGTAAGATGAGCTGGAGAAGGAAATGGCAGACCACTCTAGTATCTTTGCCAAGAAAACGCCAAATGGGGTCACAAAAAGTCAGACACATAACATTAACAGTACAAGTCTGTTAATACTACAGGTATTAATATCATTAATTTTTATAGATGAGGGAACTGAGAAGTTAAATGACTTGCCTGTTGTCCTATAGCTGGTAAGTGTCAGAGAGAGGATCCAAGCTCAGATCTCCCTTGACTCTAGTTCTGCTGATCTTTATACTCCAACATCCTCCACCCTTCCTCTACCCTCCCTAGGGTATCCTCTTACTTCCCATATAGTTTGGCATCAAGAAATAATCATAAATTCTGGAGTCAGAAGACCTATGTTTGAGTCCTAGCTCTGCCCCCTCCCTACTAGCTGAATGGGAAAGTTATTTAGCCTTTCTGGGTCTTATGAGGAAAACACTTTTAGAACGTAAATTATTATTATATTATATATATATTATTATAAATAGTCATATAGCTGAAGGTACAGCAAGCCACACAAGCTAATTTTTATTATTACTGATTCCTCAAACACTCACATGGATCTGTAATGTCATCAGCGTGAATAGTCCTTCCCATGATGCTGTTCTAAATCTATCTCAGCCTATCATATGTGACTCTTGTCTATGCCCTCCCCCAAATTCACTACAGAGAGTCTACTCAAATGCTCTAGAAGTCCACCATACTTTATGCATTTCTCACTTTGATCGTATTACCCATGTATTATCTTTCTTGATGTTTCCCTTCTCCAAGATGAGATATCCAGCCCTCATCTCACTCCTGAGCACTAATTCAGGATTACCAGCTGCCTGCTGAACTTCTCCCCTTTGTGTTTCATAAACATATCTCTCTCTCTCTCTCTCTCTCTTTACATATATATATATATATATATATATATATATATATATATATATATATATGTATGTATATATATGTATATATATGTATATGCACATACATATTATACACACACACACACACACACACACATATTGCCCAGAGTCTAGTAAGTGTTATGTGTCTGAGGCCGTATCTGAACTCAGGTCCTCCTGACTCCAAGGCCAGTGCTCTATCCACTGTACCACCAAGCTGCCCCTAAACTCAATATTTTTAAACAGAACTTATTAACCCTCCTAACCCCCAATCTTGACTCCTCTTCCTCCTAAAGGCACATTTCTGTTAGAAGGCCATCCTTCTAGTTCCCTAGGTTCTTGACCTCGGCATCATCCTTGACTCTTCACTGTCTCACCTCTCCCCCCACCCATATTCAGCCAAGTCCTATCACCTTTCTCAGTGTCTCATGCCTATTCCCTTCTTACCACACAAAGCATCAGCCCCAGTGATCACTTTTCCCTCAGACTGTTGGAGTTGCCTCCTAATTGGTCTTTACGCCTCTACTCCCTCCCCCTCTTCTGAACATCCTCCGCGCAGCTACCAGGAAATCATCTTAAAGTTTACTTCCGATCATGTTCTCCTGTTCAAGAAGCTTCAGTTTGGCTTCTGGGATAAAACACAAACTCATCTGTTTGGCTTTTAAAACCCTTTACTCTGTAGTTCCAGTTTATCTTTCCAGACTGATGACAGATTATTTCCCAGCCACAAGCTCCCCTTTGCAGCCAAACTGTCTTACTTGTCTGTACATGAAAATCTGTTTCCCAGCCCCCATGGCTTTGCATGGGCTATGCCCCCTGCCTGGAGTACTTTCCTTCCTCACCTCCACCTTCCAAGTACAGCTCAAGTGCTCCCTTCTGTAGGGGTCTCCCACTTGTTAGTCCTCCTCCTCCTCCCCCGAAATCACTTTGTATTTATTCTGACACATTTTGCTTATACCCATCTGTGTATACATTGTTTACCCTCAAGAGAATATGATCTTCTCAAGCTATTCACGTAGTAGGCATTCAGTAAATGCGAGTCAAGTTAAATTGAATTAATCAGGTAATTTATGCCTCTGGATAGAGAAGGTCTAGGTAATTTTGGGTGGTCTATGGGATTGAGATTCTTGGCATAGATAATAAAATTAGGTTGAAGTAAAATAATACAATTTAGAGATACAGACTAAGAATTTTGTGTCAGATTTTTAAAATTCTCTACTTTTTTGTCTTTTAGGTTGCAAATATTTTATGTATGTTTCTAAACAAGGTCATAAAGTCCAAGAGAAGAGTATTAAAACAATGAAGAAATTTGTGATGAAGCACAATATCTTAGATTCAAAAGAACTCTAGTGTTATAGAATTATGGTATAATGAAGAGATCATTGGAGTTAGGATCAAAAGACCTGGATTTGTGTCCCAGTTTTGACATCTGTGTAAACTTGAGAAAGTCTCAACAGCTTTGAGACTCAGTTCCCACATCTATAAAATGAGGGAAATAACATTTTCTCCATCAGCCTCACAAAATGACTGTGAAGAAGGCACTTTATGAAAGTAAAGCATTATAAAAATGCGTACACAAAGTACTTTGGTTAAATGAAAGCAATCTTCTGATCTCCAGAAAAAATTATTTTTCTATGTTAAAATTCTTGCAATTAGTTTTGCAAAGAAAACTTGTTTCAGCATCAACTGTAGCTTCACTGTAACTATAATGTTTGTTATGTTTCTAATTTTTTTATGGAATAATAAAATAATTTATTCAAGAAGGAATGCTCTCTTTGTTAAGTAAGTCCATGTTTTATATCTGGTGATGAGATGAAGTGTGAGTCATTGGGGGCTCTCCCAGGCTGAATGGAATGTATTCCTGAGAGTAAACCTGAGAGAAGGACCGAAGAGGCACTGTTGGTGCTGTCTGTTTGGGATAAAATGAAATTTGGATTTCATTTTGGTTCATCTGAGTTATCCTTCAGGTTAATTGAACCATCAGTGAGGTAGTTTTTCTAATGTGAGGGAGTGTAAACATTATCTGGGATCATTTGTGAGTGTTTTGAGTAAGCAAATATTCCAGATATTATAGATTATGTCAGTTTGTCAATTGAAATAACATTACCAAGGGCAGTTAGAAAAAAATGTTATAAATGAAAGACCTGTCCCTGGGCAGCTCCAATTTGGGCTATAAAAGATTAAAATAGAAGGAGAAAGGGACCAATGAAATTCTCCTAGGCTGAAAGCTTTCACCTCTCGTGTTGGTTAATGAACTTGCTACACCAGTCCCAGCACTTGTTTTCAGAGTGTGGAGGGCTTCTCTAGGTAGACCCAGTAGAAGACCACTTTCCAGACTGATTGAATAACAGGGTTTACTTCTATTCATATGTATTAACAGTGATAACACAAAATTGTATCGCCTAGGGCAATACTACATGGAAAATTGCTATGCTTCTGTGGATCTGTTGTCAATGGGGATCATCTCTTCAATGGTATAAATTGAAATCCATTGATATTTTCTTATTCTATGCAATGACTTTCTAATTTTCCAATAAATCTTCCATAGAAGATCATCCTGATGTGTTGGTGCCCATCCTTTGTTCCTAGATGGTGATAGAGAGTCCTTACTCAGCCCCTGAAGAAGAGGGGCAACTCTTAGCAAGAGACACTTAAAATAGCAGAGATTTGGTATCTCTCCCCTCCCACCTGAAGTTTCCAGAGAGAAGGACATTTACTATAGTTATTCGAATTTACCTTTTCTATGTCATCAGAAAGGAAGTCACTTCCTGACGGCGTTGCCCCTTAATTCCTTAAACCTTTTCTGGGAAGGAGTTTCCCAGAGGAAGTGGGGACCTGAGACGTATCCCCCATATATACAGAGTCTTTCGAAGGATTGTAGATCACAAGACTTAAGTGACTGTGTTACAGAGATAGAATAAGGAAAGACTGGAGAGGGTCAATCAGAGCTATGGCCAAAATCAGTCTGTTGTCAGATAAATCATTCTGGAGGCTGAATTCAAGCCACTGATGGACCAGATTTCCCCATTTCCCCATGAATAGGGTGGTGTTGATTCATCTTGGACATAGCTGCTGGGAGATGGAACACACCTGACTGTGGTGGTCAGGGTAATAATGATAAAACTGCTGGTTAGTAGAGAAAAACCTTTTGTCTTGAGTTAAGGGAAGAGGGCCCATTTCTGGTTGAGTGTGGGTCCAAGACTATCCAAGATAAATGGGCTCTCCAATAGGCATAAGGGAACCCAGTTGGGCAGAAGTAGCTCCTGGATCCAGATTGGCAATTGATCTACTCCTGAACTTTTGCCATTTTTATGATGTTTTTACTTTAGTAGAGAATGCTGACATGTTCTACAAACAACTGTCAGCGGAAGGCATCAAAAAATTCCTCCGTTGGTTCAGATCTGAAGGAGTGAGCGTTTGATTGTCACAAAATGTTCTCTCCGGGCCTCTGACCCATGCCCACCACCCAGGGTAAGTGAAGATCTTATCTGATTTGTATTTCACAGTTCTCTCAAATACCAGCCCTTAGCCTGCAGAGAGGACCAGTAGACTCTTCCATCCCTCAGGGCATCCTCCATTATTAGATTAATGGTTGCTGAGATCCAGTTGTCTATCATAGCCATCAGAACTGTTGGTGAACCAGGTGAAATAGTGTTTCTCAGAAGCCAGGTCCTTGTAGGTGAAGGCCTATTGGACTAGTAGAGGAGTGAGACAGGACTGGGACCAAAGGCCTTAGCCTCTGGCAGAGTTAAAATCTGTTCCTGAAGGATGTTATCACCTGAGAGACAGGGGCAAGCATTATCTTGAATGTACCATTCCTATTAGAGTGTGGGGATGTGAATATAGTTCGTCTGGATTGTGTCCAGAATTATCTGGGCTCATTCCTTCCACTGTATGCTTCCAAACTTAACATAGTTGGTTAGATTTTCTTCAGATTGATTTCCATCCATCTCTTTATCCCTCAGATGGGTGGCCATCCAGTGTAAGGCCTCTCCTAAGGTGGCCTTATATATCTCCATCAGCATTATATCATCAATGTAGGGCTATATATCAATACCCCCAGGAAGTGGGGCCTGTTAATACTAGAGTTATGGTAATCTTGGGGAGGATAGTGAAGCTATAGTGGACTCCTTCCCAAGTGAAAGTGAATTGCTAGCCTCAACCATAGGAAAAGAGAACATGTTATTAGCAAGATTAACAAACCCCATATCACTTACTAGGGGCCTAAGCTGTCTGGTCTGTCACAATTATGGCAATTGTCACAGCCTTGACAATTGGAATGACAACTTTGTTCAACATCCTGTAGTCCACTAATAGCTTCCAGGTGCCATCTGCCTTCCTCACTGGCCTTACAGGGTTACTGTAATGGGAGCTGGTAAACCAAAGTATACTGGCCACCATTTCTATTATCAGGAAGGAAGTAGTTTTCATTCATCTCAGGACCCAGTACTGTTTGGTGTTAACTACACTGGCTAGCTCTGGTATCTCCAAAGGTTTCTATTTACCCTACACAGAATTACTGGCACTCCTCAAGAGAAATTCCCTATACCAATGAAGTTAGAGGCACAATCCAAATCAAATCAAGTAGGCCAATTGAAAATGATCAACAGGTATCACTTAGGTGCTTAGCATGTGGTGACAGCATTTCTATGATCAAGGGCAGAAAGAGTCAGCAGAGATGAGGTGAGAGATAAGACAGCCACCTATCATGCTGAGTGCTGTGACAAGGGTCCTTTTTTACTGACATTTTGATGCAATCAGATTCCACACTGTATTGCAAAGGGAATTCATGTTACCCCTGTTGCAGTGAAGGCTCAAAACCTTTAGTAGACAGTGGCATAGGGGCCAAGGTTCAAACCCTGACTTAGCAGCCCAATTGCCTTGTCCTGGCTCTGTAGACTTTTCCAGCCCAATGAGCATGAGGTAAACATTCTCTTTTACTGGACAGAGCTCTGGATGTGGAATCGGGAAGACCCAAGTTCAAATATTGCCCTAGTAACTTAACTTGCTGTGTGACTCTGGACAAGTCACTGAACCTTTCTAGACCTGTTTGCTTACCTGTAAAGTGGGGATAATAATACTACCTACTTCACATCATTTTGAGGATCAGATGACGTATCTGTAAAGCATTTTGCAAACCTTAAAGTACTATATATTTAAATGTAAATCAGGTGGAGTAGTGATTAGAGTACCCAACTTGGGAGTCAGGATGACATAAGTCTGAATTCTGCTTCAGACATTTGCTAGCTGTCTGACCCTGGGCAAGTCACTTATCTTCCATCTGCCTCAGTTTTTTCATCTGTAAAATGACAATAACAGTAGCATCTGACTAACCAGGTTGTTGTGAGGATGAAAAGCTTTGCAAAGCAGCATTGGACCTGGAGGTACGAAGACCTGAGTTCAGTACAGCCTCCAACGCTTACTAGCTGTGTGTTCCTGGGCAATTCACTTAACTTTTAAAAAGATGTTTTTTTTTATCTATATAGAGATTTATTCTGATATTTGTCAGTGAAGACAGCCCCTCCATTGATGAGGATCACAACTCTTCTACTTAGTAGATAGTCCTCAAGAGTTTCTTTCGGTAAAAGCTTCACCATCTTTTGAAAGGTCTGATGTTGACTCTCACTGAAGTTAGCTAGCTTGGTCCTTGGATGACTGGCACAGTCTCTCATCAGGCCTGTACCTGAAGTTTTTTTTTTCCACATTAGTCATATTGAATTCACTTAACCTTTGCCTCAATTTTTTCATCTGTGAAATAGAGATAATAATAGCACTTACCTCGATTACTCTATATTTCAGTTTAATCAAGCAGTGATGTATTGTTCTAGTGATCTTTTTTTATGAAAACCCTCCCCCCCAATTTGACGTTTTCATCCTTAAAAACTCATTGATTCTAACTATGTAACTTGCTCCGATGACCACAAAAAACAAAACCTATTTGTTCTGTAAATTTGGCCAGTGGCCAAAAAGCAATGCCGTTGGGCCTGACTTCACAAATCCAGAATATCTAGGAATGCTAGTATTTTGTTATATTAAAATGATTGCTACACCTTACCACCTGATAATTTACATAATTAAAAAAAACTTTTTTATGAAAGAGATGCCCTTTTCATGGAAACTTTGCTTCTGTGAAAAAAGGCAACCGAAACTAAATAAACAGTCATTAAATAACCCAAAAATATTGGCAAGTGCTCCATAAAATAGGGGAGTGTTCACTCCAAGTTGGGTTAGGTAATCCTCCTTTTTTTACTCAGAAGCCAATGGCAGCTGTGTCTTCACTGGCTGTATTTAGGTAGCTTTTTATACGTCTTGCTCAAGACTGCCAGAATACTGATACTGCTGTTATTCATTCACATCTAACTCTGTGACCTCATTTGGGGTTTTCTTGGAGTTTTCTTGGTTTACTGAAGTGGTTTGCCATATCCTTCTCCAGCTCATTTTACAGATGAGGAAACTGGCAAACAGATTAAGTGACTTGCCCAGGGACACAGAGCTGGTTGGTATCTGAGGCCAGATTTGAACTCAGGAAGAAGAGTCTTCCTGACTCCAGACCTGGCACTCTATCCACTGTGCCATCCAGCTGCCCTTCTGGGCAAGACTACCAGAAAACTGACTTTATTGGACCATTTAGCTGCCACTTTCATGAAAACTACCCCATCAGCAATGGATGAGTCCAGTGTGTTGGACTTGTGGTCATTAAAAAAAGAGTAGAACAGGTGGCACACAGAGCAATACAAACAGGAAAGGGGGGCCAAGGAGAACTGTGC